TTTTTCCCCGGAAGTTAATAATGACCTTGTTGCGTCATCTGCCTTATTTTCTCTCGGTACCTTCTGCTGATTGCTGCCTCACCTTCTCACAGCTGGTGGCGGGGCTCTCTGCAAGGGCAGTCACATCAAGTATGACATGTTTCAGTTCCAGTTCTCCAGTTTCTGCCGTCTGGGTGTGTGACACGTCGGAGCGGCCATTCTGGGACTTCCTTTTGTGGGCCTCCTTGGCATTCCCTTTGCCTTCTTTCTGGTTGGAGTTCCTGTTTTCTGGATCTCGTGTCTTCCTCTTCTTTGGCTTACTCCCGCTCCGGGAGCACATCGTCCAGGACAGGTACCTGTCAATATCCGAGCCGGTTCAGTTCCTGAGTTTGGACGGCAGACTGCAGACAGGGAGGGACACCTGTGGTTTTGTTGGATTGAGAAGACTGTTCGGTGGTCGCGGGCATGGAGACCCCGGCACTCAGCAGGCCCGAGTCTTGAGTCACACTGCTTAGATCTGAACAGTGGCCCCCTATGGCTTCATCTGACCTCTTTTCACCTTAATCCTGGAGAATCCCTTCCTCTGTCTTGGGTGTCTTAGAGGACATCTGCTCGCCATCCCTGAGAAAGGAGTGTCTGAAAATATCTTTATTCTACCATCGCACCTAAATGATGATTAGGCTGTGTAAAGAACTCTAGTGGGAGAATTATTTTAAGAATTCCGAAGGTCTTGGTTCTTTGTCTTCTTGCTTTCCACATTAACGTTGAGCAGTTTGAAGGCATTCTGATTGCTGAACCTCAGTAGGTCACTTTTTCCTCCCTCTGTGCAGGTCCGTAGGATCTGCTGTTTGTGCCGGTGTTCTGAAATTTCACAGTGATGTGCCTTGGTGTGGGTCTGCTTTCCTCCCTTGTGCTGACATGCGGTGGGCCTTTTCAACGGGCTACTCGTGTCTTTCAGTTCTGGGAAATTCTCTCGCACTCTTGCATCGGCAATGTTCTCCCCCGTTTTTTTTTTTATTTTCTGTAACTCCTGCTTTTCAGATGTGGAAACTTCTGGACCAGTTCTCTCTCTTTTCCATCCTCTCCAATTTTCATTTTTCTTTTTAAGGTACCCTTTGCGTTGAATTTTGCGTCTTTACTAGGATGGTTTGTATTTCTACAGATCTTTTTTGTTCTCTGAATGCTCTTTTTAAATAGCACCACGCATCCTTGTTTCATGAACGTAGTATCTTCTCTGTGCACCAAGTGTGTCTTTTGGTTTGGTTTGGCTTATTTGTTCTCCTTTCTATTTTCCAAGTCAGAGGCCTCCCTCAGACGTCTACTGGTCCATGGTTGTCCTGTACAGGATTCAGGAGAGGGGACTGGGAGTTCTCTGCATGATGGTGGGGCTTGTTTCCTGGCAGATCCATACTGGTTAGCCCACACAAACCATTTGGACACCATTTGGGTTCTGGGGGCAGCATCTCTATCCATAGGCCTTTCCTCTCGGACCAGTAAGATTCTCCGGAGAAGAAGGTAAGGGTCTAGCTGCCAGGGTTCGAGAAGCCAGTGGGGGAAGAGCTGGGGGCACTCAACATCAGCATTTAGAATAACCTTCATCTCCTTGATTTTGCTCTATTACCATTGCTCTCAACTGCTCCAGTCAACTCTGTGCAAAGACCCTGTGTTTTGTGCTCCCCAGAGGGTAAACCTTCCGACTTCTGGGGGAGGGGGTCTAGGGCTTTTCCTTCTTTCATTCAGTCAGCCGCTTTATTTTCACGCATGGGTCCTCTCCACCCCTGGCCCGGGAGGTAACGGGCGCTATTGCCTCTAGTGTCTTTTAAGGATTCTTGTTATAAATTAGGTTTGTTTTGATTTGATTTTGATTTGAAAGCAGTTTTGTCTGAAATCTGGCCATCACAAGTCTGCTGTCCAGACCCCAAAATTGTGTTGGTGGTGTGTCCTCTTTGTTCAGCCCCCTCGTGTGGCTATGTCTTTAAAAAAGCTTTCTACTAAGTTGGATTTAGAAGGTAGTGAAACTGGGTGTGCATATTCAAAATTCCAGTCCTTTTTCCACAACAGTTTTGTAACTGGAGTGGTAATAATGGTGAGCGTGTCAGTTGTGATACCAAGACCTTTTTATGATGGGATTCCTTAAACATTTGTGGAAGTTATTGTTAGAAACATTATTTATGGCCCCTGTGGCCATTAGAAGTATAAAGGAGGAAATAAAAGCTGCCTGTCATGGTGGTAGGGTTCTTGGCACGGGTTTTTCTTTGGTGGTGGTTCTTGTGGTACAGCCCTTGGCGTGGGTGAGGAAGATGCTTCAGTGCCAGGAGCAGTAGAACCATGCTTGGCCAAGGACCGTCATGGTGGACACAGGCTGCTGTGTTGGGACTGTGGGCCTCGGGGAAGGTCCCTCCCCTCAGGAGGGCTGCTTGAGAGAAGGAAGCTTCTAAGGCCAGGTGGGAAGCGCTGTGTCGAGTCCTGGACCATAACCACCACAGGGGCCCCCCCCCCCAGCGTTGTGCAGCACATGGCCTGCCTAGCCGTATGCTGGGTGGTTTTAGATGATGCCGGGGGACTCTGAGGAACACTTTCTGACAGGTCTGTTCCACTGAGGAACACAAAGGAACCTACAGACTGACCCAGGTCAGCTGAGTTTGCTGTGAGGCTAGCGCACCAGCTCAGATATCAGGGGGATGTGTGGAGGAAGGGGAGAAGGAAAGAGCATTTCCCTTCCTTTCCGGGGTGTCTGTCCTCAGGGTCAATGCCTTGTGATGTTCTGCTTTTCCCTCCTACTTCCTTCCTCTTCTCACTGGCAATCAGAGAGAGGTTCTCTGAAAGTGTGTGTTTTTTTTGTTGTTGTTGTTTTGTTTTGTTTTCTCACAGAAGTTCCCTGGATATTTCTAGGCCTCAGGGCAGTGCTGAGACAAACATCTGGCAGAAGGTTATCTGCCTTTACTTTGTGCCTGGGTCTTCATGGACTCCATGCTGGGGCTCTGGGGCTCCTGAAGGTGTCCCAGCCTTGGCTGCTTCTCCCCTTTGCCCTTGGCGCCTCCAACAGCTTGGCAGGGCAGGGCTAGAAGACGCCTTGTAGATCATGTAGTCCAACTTTCCCATTTCATGGATGAGGAAGCTGAGGGGGGGAAGCCCCGGTCAGGACTAGAACCCACATCTGCTGACTCCAGGTTCAACGTTCTTTCCAACCAGACTCTGCCTCTCTTAGCTTCCGCATCCTTTTGAAGGTTTTGATGTGGGCGGGGGTCATTGGATATGTTTGTGCTAACAAACGGTGTGTGGGTTTGAAGCGGGAATCACTGGCTGATAATGGAGGGAAGCCTCATGGAGTTCTGGGTTGGACCAGTTCTGTAATGGACTCTCGGGAGTTGTTTCTGGGCGGTGGTGTAAGCTGGGGGACAAAGCTTCACAGAGACCGCCCTCAGAGCTTTAGTGAGAGAGATCTGGATTCAAGCCTCTGCTTTGACTCTGGAATATGGATAAATCCTAATCTTTTTGAGCCTGAGGTTCACTATAAACGAGGGATAGTAATAGTAATAGTAGCTGCCCGAAGGCAGGCGGGCAGGCCGGCCTGTCACGTGCTTAGCACCGCGTCTGACACATGAAGCAACACTCTACTGCTGTATACGCACGCGTGTATTGGAGCAGCAACTGTGCCCGGAGCCCAGTCTGGTGCTGAGCTTTGCAGTGCTTATTGCACCTGGAGTTTCCTTAGGGCTCACCTGTGGGGCTTGGAGCACTTGCAGCCCGGTGAGGTTTTTAACTTAAAGCCCCTCCTGTCCTGGCCCTAAGGAGGCCGCTCCCAGCTCCAGCCTCCCCCTCCACACCCGCGGCAGAGCCCACCTCCCAGCGAAGCGCCCGTCCCTGGGGAAGGGGCTGCGCCCGTGGGAGACCCAAGCCTGTGCTTTCTCCAGTGCCTGGTTTTCCAGGGAGCCTTGGCTGGAGGGGGATGGGAGAAGAAGCCCAAGAGGGAGGGGAAGCCGGGGAAGCAGAACGGGAACTGGAAGGGGAAGGGTGTGGGTGGGCCCAGATCCAGCTGCCTCCCACTTTCCTTCTCCTGCCAATCCCCTCCCTGCAGGCGGGTGCACTGGAGGCGGGGGCTTGGCCCGTGTTTCCTCCTGGGGGGTGGGGAGCCGGAGAACTCGGTGTCTCTGAGCGGAGGGAGTTGAATCTGCAACACCCCCACCCCTAGCTGAGGCCTGCGTCAGGGGCTTTGTTATTTTACTGGCTTAAGGCCCACACCTGAAGCAGGGAAGATGAAAAGCCCCTAAAATAAAGCCGTGTGGGTGCGGAGGGCCCCCTCAAGCCCCCCAGTTCCCCGAGGCAAATGGGGCCGATTCGCGGGGTGGCGGGGAGAGCAGTCCCCGGTCCGCCCTCAGCGTGGCCTTGGCTGTGGCCTCTGCCCACCAGGACATCCTCCCAGCAGCATGGCGGACCTAGGCCTTCAGCCTGGCCGCAACCCGAGTTCAACCTCAGCTTTCTCGGGGCCCAGGCGCTGGTCCTAAAGTGAGGTGACATTCATTTCACTACATCCTGTGACTGCAGCTCACTTCCTCCACGTGGTGGGAGCGGGGTGGGGGTGGGGGCGTGAGGGGAGGACAGGTTAGAAGGAAAATGTAGCAGGGCCGGGGACCTCTGGGATTTCCCAGGGGGTGGCTGGGTGGGAGGGAGGGTGCGGGAAGCTTTCAAAGGAGAGAACAGAAGTGAATGAAGAGAAGGGAGGAGGCAGGAGGCAGTTGGAAGGCCCAGAAGAGGCGCCCACGGTGCCACAGCAACCCGGAGGCCCGGGGAGACTGTTGCCACCTCGGAGGCAGGAGGCGGCCCTGAGTCGGCCTCGGTTTCCCCCGCTCTCTGGCGGGCTGGGCTGGCCGGAGCTGCCGGTGAGCCTGGGAAGAGGAGTGAGGTCGGAGGAACAGGCCTCACGGGGCAGCATCGGGGGGGCTGAGGGGAGGGGGGGTGTCAGGCGGGGCCCAGGCTGGGGGTGCCCTGCCCTGCTGACCCCTCTTGTCTTCCCCCCACAGGTGGAGCCACTGGAAGCCCACACCGCAGGCAGCCGGAGTCCGAGTTTCACCGGGATCTATGTCTAAGTTCTAACTCTTGCTTACAAAGACCACGATAATTCCTTCCCCAAAGCCCAGCAGCCCCCCAGCCCCACGCAGCCCCAGCCTGCCTCCCACCGCCCAGCTGCCCGCAATGCCCTCCAGCGGCCCCGGGGACACCAGCAGCTCCGCTCCGGAGCGGGAGGAGGACCGCAAGGTGAGCGGCTGGCTCTGCCCGGGACCCCCGGGACCCCCGGCCCCAGCCTGGGGAGGGGAAGGGGGAGGGCCCGCCCCCAAGTAATGACAGCTCTGGTGTGCTGAGCGCTGGACCGCGCAGCTCAGCCTTCACGCTGGGCGGTGGGGAGGGCTGATGTCCCTGTTGGGGCCATGGCTTGTAGAGGTTCGGTCTTGGGGGTATGGCGGGAATTTGAAGCACATAATCAGGCTCCAGGACCCAGGCTTTTTAACTCCCCTGGTGTTTGAGCAGAGGTTCAAGCCCTGGGTCTGTAGACAGTGTTGGGGGGCAGCCTGGCAGAGTGTCCCCAAACCCAGATTCCTTTCTGGATTCTCCTCTACCAGCTCTATGTCCTCCGCTGGGTCACTTGACCTGTCTTAGCTATTCCCCAGGGTATTCAGTAGCTCTGGGAGGCCCAAGACAAGTTCAGGGAGGCTCAGTAGATAGGAGGCCACGTGAGGGCTCCCCCTCTCAGAGCGCCAGGCACACGGTGACACCAGTCATCCTGGAGATGGTGATTTCCTGCCCCTCACCCCTACCCCGGGCTCTGAGTGTCACTTCTGACCACGGAGCCAATGACGTCCTTGTTCTCAGAGCCCCCTGCGGGGTGACCTCATCACCCTCTGCTGAACTCCAGGATGGGCCTGAATCAAAGGAGGTCCCAGCAGCCCTGCAGGGATCCCAGCTCGGTCCCCACAGGCTGCCTTGGGACCTCACCAAGCTGTGTCCACCCACAGGAAAGCCGCCCTGAACCCCTAACAGTTGGGCTCTATTTTCGCTCTCTGGCAGTGAGATGATAAACCCCACCACCACCTTTCTGGGGAAGCGATACCAGCCACGGGCCTTTCTGGGGTATCCTATCTGCTGTGCCCTGGTCCCCACGGTTCCCTCTGCCTGTTCCCCTTTTCCTGAGCAGGAGGGAGGGGTGGTGATGCTCGGTAGGAGGCATAGTTTGTCCTTCTGGAACCAGAATGGACACCTGGCACCAGGTATTGGCCCCTGGGCACTGCGAGGAGTGTCCCATCTGCTTGCCCACCGTCGGGGACAGCTCTGAGACCCGCTTATGCTCCCTGATGCGCCCCCACGCATGCTCAGCTCTTTCCTGGGCTCCCTCAGCCTTACAGCCTTTTTCTGTTCTCTGAGTGGTTTCCAGCCAGTTGGTTCTTGGGAACAGTCCTTGAAATAAGTGGGGGCAAGGACTGATGGCCCTAGTTTACAGGGGAGGAAGCTGAGCCCAGAACCTTTCCCGCCGCCGCACCTGCGTCAGTCCTTGGGCGGACACACACGCAGGTGTGTGCACGAAGCCCAGTCACCGGCCTCCCCAGCCTGGAATCATGCGGAATGCCCTACTGGGGGGTGTATACCCAGCAAGCTGGGGAGAGAGTGCTTGCTGTGGCCCACTGAGCCAGGCTCCTAGGGGCTACAGATCCCCTTCTTCCTGACCCCACAGAGAAAGAACAGGTAGTCCAGGTTATCCTATGGGCCTTCTGAGCTACTCCTGTCTCAGGCAGCAGTTGACCCACACAGAGTCAGGGCCACCTGCGTCCGGCCACCTGTGCTCTCGAGTGGAGGCTCTGGATAATTCCCTTCCCCCCATCGGGTCTGTTTTGCTCCTCTGTTGGATTAGGTGACCCTGACCTCCCTACCTGGTCTGATGCCCAGACTGATGCTGACAGAGCTCTGTGTCCATACACTTGCAGGTGGGGGTCAGCTGCCCCCGCAGGTGGGGAAGGTGGGGACAGTCAGGCCAAGCTTCTCTTGTTACTGGACGGTGCTGCCCTAGATAGCAGAGCCCCTGGCTCCCTCGCATGGAGAGCAGCAGGGCAGGCTCTCTGTTCTGACAGTTCAAGATAGAGAAAATGCACTGGACAGAGGCAGAAGCCCAAGGCCCTGGTCCCAGGCCCGAGTATGCCACTTCCTGGAGATGTGACTTCAGGCCATCTGGGCTCGCGTTTGCTCGGCTGTAAAGTGGGGATAGTAACTCTAGCTGTGCCTGTTTTACAGGGTGGTTGTGGAAGTCAGATGAGGTCATGGGCATGGAAATGCCCTGCAAACAGCAAAGTCTGGTCCAATTATGAGGGATTACGATTGCTATTATTATCTACCCATAGTAACCCTTCTGGCTCATGTGGCAACAAACACACACCCAGCCCCAGATTCTGGTGCTGATAGAGTGGGCTGATAGACGGGGGCTGGGGCTCGGTGGGTGCTCCTCCCCGGCCGCCCACACCCACGGGGCGCATGCTGGCTCACCTGGCACACCTCCCTGGCACCTCTGGGCTGGCTCCCACAGCTCCGGGGAGCTGCCTGGGGAGGGCGGGTAGAGACACTGACAGCCGCCCACGGCAGCCGGAGAAAGCCAGGCCTGGGGCAGAGGTGCCATGTCACTGCAGAGGGGGAAGATGGGCTTGGGCTGCAGCCCAAGGAGCCTGGCAGAGTCGCCAGGGGCACCTGGCACTAAGGAACTGTTCGGTGAGCCAGAGGGAAGGGGTGTGGCCACCCCCTGGCCTTGGGCCCCACGTGCCCTTCCAGCCTCCTTCCCGGCCACGCCTCCACGCACCTTCCACTCTGGTACTTCCTGGAGCCGCCAGCCCTTTGTTTATGCTCCTTCCTCCGCCTGGTGGGCCCTTTCCCTAACTTTCACCTCTCCTCTCTGATCAAAGCCCTTGCTTCCTTTGGTCTGCCTTGAATTACAGTTTGTAGGGGACCCGCGGTGCTTTTGAGAACGCCAGTGGCACCCTCTCTGATCAAAGCCCTTGCTTCCTTTGGTCTGCCTTGAATTACAGTTTGTAGGGGACCCGCGGTGCTTTTGAGAACGCCAGTGGCACCTGGAAAGGTTAGAAATGCCAATCAGAGCTTCTGGGGCTGGGGCCCAGCAGTCCTTGTTTTAG